CAGTGCCCACACCGACCAGAGTGTCCTTCCAGCGGGTCCTGTGAGGTCGGAATTACCATTTCTATTCTATAGTGGGGGCATTTGAGGCCCAGAGAGGAGGGGTAACTTGCTCAAGATCACACAGCAAGGATGTGGCTTGGATTTGGACCCAGCTCATTCAGACATGCAACAAAACGTCGTGCATGTATGTGTACGTGTGTGTTGTGTTCTTGACCTCTAGGATGACTGCTCTGACACACAACAGCGCTGGTGCTTCTCATCCACTGGTAGTAGCTCATGCTAAGAGCTGGCCCTGGGGAGGGCAGTGGGTGTGGGGTCGGGTCTACAGGGTGATGGCAGCTCAGGGGCAGAGGCAGACACCACCAGGAAAACTGAGAGGGTAGTGTGACTGGGAAAGGGTGGATGCGGGGCAGGCACAGACTGGCCCGGTGGGAGGGGCCACCCCATTTGGTGGAGGGAGGGACAGCCCTGGGAGACTGGCTGGGAAGGGACATCTGGGCCAGCTTCCCAGACTGACCAGGTGACGAAGTGGTGGGGCAGGGGGCCCAAGAGGGCACATGTGGTAGAAGAGGTAGCCAGGACAAGGGTGGCCAGGGTTGAGACCATGCAATGGCTCTGAACAGGAGGTAGGGTGGTGGGCTATGCCTGCCGCTGGGGGGATGGGCGGGGACAGAGGAGTGAGAAACAAGTGCGTGTGTGTACATGTGTCTGTGTGTCTACAAGGCTTGGGGCTGTTGTTAACCTTCTCTGGGCCTCCATTCCACCGGGTAGGAATTGGAAGCCACTCCAGGACCCTGACCAAGATCAGCCGGCTCCATTGCTTTAGCCCTGTGGTGAGGCAGAGATCTGGTGGAAGGGCAGAGAGAGAGAGAGAGAGAGAGAGAGAGAGAGAGAGAGAGAGAGAGAGAGAGAACCAGAGAGGAAGGGGCAGGAGGCCACCTGTGGTCCTGAAGGTCACACCCCCATCTGCTCTCCTCTAGGCTCTGCCTCCTCTTTCTGTCACCTCCAATTAATGTCATCAAATTATGATCTCATGAACAGATAAATCCACTCGATGAAGTCAGATCCCTGTGATCCGGTCACTTCCCCCAAGGCCTGTCCACTGGCAAGCCAAGCCTCCAGCACAGGAGTCTTGGGGGACATTTCAAATCTGGCCCCTAGCACCACCGCACCACCTGCTCCCTGCTCTGACCCAAGATGACATCAGCCGGTGGTACCTCTCAGTCTCCAGATCTGTGATCCAATCCCCTGTGCATAGGCCCTGCTCTCACCATGGAAGGGGACAGGGACTAGGGTTTAGGATGGGGACTTCTAGAGGGCCTGCGTTCTGCCAGCCACAGCTGTCTAGCTGGTTCTCTTCAGATGGCGTGCTCCCTAAGGCCCTTACCTGGTGACCACAGTGTCCTCAGGAGAGCTGTCTCTTGCCCAGAGAGGGGGCTCCCTTAGACAGTCCCTGTGAGTCCCAGACACAGTCGTGGCTTGCCCTAGGCCACGAAGTCACTCTCATTCCCATGTGGCCTGTGTACACCTCAGAGGAAGTCCAACAGAGGCCCCGCCTGGGCATGCAGGGCACCCTGCACATCGGAGAGAGCATTCGGGCTTCCTTGGTGCGGGTGCCTCTGTGAACCTACTCTGACCATCCGATGACCAGGCAGAACCAGGGAGGGCCAGGGTACCATTCAGCTTTAACTGGAATTTCAGGGCTTCCTATTAAGGATCAATCCTAAATGGATCCCAAAGAGCTCAGGAGTTATGATATAAGCTTTATCTATGCTCGAAGCAGCCGCTGTGGAGCCAGGGCAGCTGCGAGCCAGAAGCAGCTGGGATCTCCAGGGCCAACGTTTCCCCTTTTGCAGAAGGAGCAACCAGGCTGGGGAAAGCAAAGCCCCCCATACACACACCAGGACAGGCATTGCTAATCAATTGCTGTGCTCCTTCCAGCCAGGCCAGAAAGCGGCCTCAGATTCCCCCTAGCACAGAGCTCCAGGAATCTAGAAGTAGCTAAGCAGAACTGGGCACCAAGGAGAAAGCAAGCTAGGTCCTCCCCTTGGGCCCTGCGGAGGTTCCAAGGCATGGACAGGTTTCCTTTCCCGCTCTGAGGAGGCCCACTGCTCTCAGGTGCCCACATCTCTGTCAGGCCTTAGGTTTGAAAATCTTATTTAAAACAAAAGCAGAAAATAAAAATAAAAATAAAAAAAATAAAACAAAAGCAGACCTGGGCATGGTGGCCCATGCCTATTATGCCAGTATTAGGGAGGCTGAGGCAGGAAGATGCCTCAGAGTTGCCTCACCTTGGCAACTTGGTGAGACCTTGAAAAGGGGGCGGGAATTAGGTCAGGGTGAAGGACCTGGACTCAGTCTCCAGTACCATGGGTGGGGGGGCAGGGGTGCGAGCGGGGTGTGTGTGTGGGGGGGGGGGTTGAGGGAGAGAAAACAAAAGAAAAAGAAGCACACTTTTCACTCCAAGGATGAGAAACCCAAGCCTCAGGCCTTAACCACAGGAGCCAAAGGATGGTGGCTTTCCACTGGCTGGCAGTGTGGGCTCAGGGTTGTAGACCCTGTCTCAGGCTGTAAGTTCTCATCCCCTAGGCATCTGGCAGATGTAGCTCCAGCAGTTGACGAAACCCAAGTCTGGTGCAGCCTCAGGAGGCCCAGGGAGACCCGAGGTAGCTGCACCCCGCTCTGGGGCGGGGTGGGGGGTGGTAGGGGGGAAGGAGGAGGTGGAGTGGTGGTATTCCTAATCCACTGGAAGCTGGCTTCTCCCAGCGCCCTTCCAGGCTCCCATGTGTGCCCAGCTCTGTCCCCTTCTTCCCTCTTTCCCTCCTATCCCTAGCCCAGCCCTCCTATCTGTGGCTCAGAAGGCTGAAGGGCTGGCCCAGGCCACACAGTGGGCAGAGGCGGAATGGACTGGGGCCAGGTCTGGTAGCAATGCCTCCGCTCCTCCCTACTGTCTGGCAGTGCCATGGTCACCGTTGCAGAGTGTTTCTGTGTGGCCGTAGCGCAGTGGTTACACAGAACTGAGAGTTCCCGCAAGCTTCTGAGGGCTCCTTCATCACCGCCCTGCAGGGTCCGCTGCCCTGGGCCAGGAGATATAGTCTGTTTCTGCTCTATTACTAGCTGCTGGGCAACCTAGGGTGAGTCCCTGCCTTCTCTGTTCCCATCTGCACTGACAAACCCAGGAGAGTTGAAAGATTGGGAGTCAGTTAGGCTGTGTCTGATTTCTAACTCGAGGGAGCTGTGTGACGTTGGACAAATGCCTTAACCTCTCTGTGCCTCACATCATTTACTGGGAAATGGAAGAGTTGCAGTGGATGGTCTCTAAGTGTTAAACCTCCTGAATTAAGGGTTGGGGATGGCAGGGGAGCAAGGTGAGATTCTGAGTCGGCTTGGGGGTTATGGTTGGCAGACACCCCCAAGCCTTAAGACAGTCCCCAGTGCCCCAGTGTCTAAGAGGTGACTAGGTCACCAGTGAGCGAGTCACTGCACGGATGGCTGCCCCTCTCTGCTCTTTCACCTGCTGCTTTCCAAGTGGGGCCAAATACCCTGGAGCCCCTCACTGGGCGCTAGCACCTTGAGCTTGAACTTCCCAGCCTCTAAACAGTGAGCCCAAAACACTTCTCTTGTGTATAAGCTTCCCAGCCTCTGGGATTCCGTTACAGCAACAGCAAACAGACGACAATGGATGATGGCGGTCATGCCCCCCATCCACCTGCCTACCACTCCGAATCCCAGAATAAGCAGCACCCAGCTGCTCCCCCTTCTCCCTGCGCCCCTTTTGACCCCTCCTCCCTACCCTTCTCTGCTCCCCTCCTGGCTACCTGCTTCACTTCTGCTCCTTTCTTTCTCCTCCTCTGCCCCCTCCTTCCCCGCCTCTTTTCTCCTCTGTAAATGTTATTCCAGGCAATCCTGTCTTTCTGGAATGTTATTCTAGGCTTTGGAATCAGACAGACCTCTGTCCAGGCCTGACTGTGAGTCTGAGCTGAGTGCCCTGGCCACAGCAGTCTGTCTGTGGCCTCAGTGTGCTCATCTGTAAAATGGGCCATGATGCCTCCAGAGTTGGTGGTGACTCCTGGGTGGGCTTTCACCACAGATGCACTTGGCTCAGGTCATGCACCCGAGGTCACTGCTGTCATTTCTTTGGTCTGGGAGGATAAGGCCCAGGCCCTGGGCCCAGCCAGCCTGGTTGGAATCCCAGCTCTGCCATCGAATATCTATGTGATTCAGAAGAAAGACTTAACCTTTCTTTACCTCCATTTCCTTATTGGGAAAAGGTGGGTAACAATGTCACCTCCTTCTCAGGATTGCCACGAGGATTAGATACCCAGTGCCCAGGACCTTAGGGAGCTTAGCTGCTTTGGTTACCCCGTGGCCTGGAGTGGGGACAGAGGAATCAGGTACCAGAGGTGGAGTGGACGGAGGACAGAGCACTCCCCAAGGAGAGTGCTCCCTGGTCAGGACCAAAGGATGTAGTTGGGGGCGATGGGCTGGACCTAGGGGTGCCCGCATTGCCCCCCATCCTCCCCACCCCCCCGGCCCAGCATGCCCAGCGCAGCTTCTGTGGGTCAGCAAAGGCTTCCTGGGAGAGGATGTGGACTTCAAGAGGGAAGAAGGAGCTGTAGACCACTGGCCACAGGCAGCACCCAGGTACAGGGATGACACACAGAGCCCAGTGCGGTGGGGGTTGGGACAGAAGGCCCAGCTTCCCTGTCTGAGTCCAGGCTCCCACCCCTTAGGGACCCTACGCCCCTCTCAAGCTGCCCCGGGCTACATATGTTCCTGGTTTGCGCCCAGACAGTGGGCACAGCTCCCGGGTTGTCCTCAGCGGGCCGCTGCCACCCACAACCCAGCCGGCCCAGGCCCGCGGGGGCGCTGGTGGGAGGCCCCCCTCCTGCAGCTGGCTCCCCCCGCCCTCCGCAGGAGCCCGTTTCCTGCTCCTCCCTCTCGCCTCCCTCCAGCTGTTTCTCTGGCTGAGTTCTTCCCCTGTCCCATTCAGTCCTGACCAGGAGCTGCCCGGGACTGGACAGAGCACCTTCCTGCGGTAAGGAGGACAGCCCTGCAGGGCCCTGAGCTCGGGGGATCCCAGAGCCTCTTCCATGAACTCAGAGGACGGCTTCTGGGCAAAAGCCATCGCCAGAGGAAGTGTGTGGTGTGGCGCGGAGTCTCCCGCACAGCTCACAGTGGCCCCAAGCCACAAGAGCCCTCGGGAAGACCAGACTGCAGACAGAGGAGGAGGAGGAGCAGGTATCGCATTTGGCTTTGACAGCTTCCACAGGGCCGGGCTGGGGAGTGCTAGCAGAGAGTGAAGTTCCGCTCTTATAACAGTATTTGCCAAAAGGAAAGTTTTTGCTAGGTTCAGATTTCAGAAGTTATGTATGTATGCTCCTTGTTAAAAAACAAAACAAACAAAAAACCCCAACAAAACCAGCAACATCTCTAAGTGTCTGAGTACACACACTCACCGTTTTCCTTGCAAATCCACCTCCTCCTTGGCCGCAGACCGTGGGCTTCCTTGTCACCTGTGCCCTTCCAACGTGCATTTTAATAACCACGTAGAAACGATGCCCTGGAATGGATGGAGTCCTTTTGCTCTTGCGTTTGCTCCCATTTTCTTTCCTGTTGTTATAAATCGGACCACAGCGAATGCTCTATCATGCACGTCATCTTTGTGTGGGGGTCCTGGGGGTCCTTTTCTAGAGGTAAAATAGTTGCCCGTTTGTAAGACATCTGGCACCTGCAGGTGGTGGCAGCCCACACTCTCTGGGCCGCTACATCGGGGTGCGATGTTCTCACAGACTCATCCACCGTCTTGCCTGGAATCTGCTCCTTACACCTTCCCGGGGAGCTGTGCTGAGTGTCAGGATGCTTCAGTTTGCGTTTCTTTATTAGTGTTCATCATCGGTAATCAGTTAATCGTTCGCTTTTCTCCTGTGATGATCCTATTAAAGTCTGTTCCCACACGCCCCCCTCACCCCCGTGTTTATCTTTTCTTTTTCTTATTGAGGTTGAAGTGTCCCTTGCTTATGATGGATAGGAGCCCGTGGCTGGTACTCTCTATTGAAAATATTCCGCTCGCACCCCTCTGCTCTGGGGCTGGTGTATTTTAAACAAGCTTTTAGCCAAATTCCAAATAAATAACATGTCACCGTGATCGAGTGGCTACTGCCCTCAATCCAGATCTCATGTCTGAGGTCACATCATGAGCGAGTAGCTAGCTCTGTGTGTCCCGAGAAGCGCCACATCCCTTTTCCTAGTCTCTGCTTTGTTCCCCAAACCTGTCTTCTCTTCTGTGGTTCCTGTTGTATCGCTTGCTTCTCTGGCTGGCCCCCAGGGACCGTCTCCTCGAGATGTCCCTGCGGCGGCGGTGCTGTCCCTGGCTTATGCAGGCTTCCAGGGCAGGCAGGGGTGGCCCAGAACTTCTGTAACAAGGTTTCACGTACCCTGGCTACACTCCAGCCATAAGGAATCAGGTGTTTGAGAAGTCCTCGAAGAGTTACCTCTGGAGGCGTAGGGCCTGCTCTGGGCTCTCCCAAGAGTGTCACTTACATAACTGAAGTACTGGGGATTGAAGCCAGGGCCTTTGCACCAACCTGCATCCCCAGCCCCTTTTATTTATTTACTTTCTTCTCTCTAAGTCATTAACTTGCCTAGGCTGGGCTCGAATTTGTGATCCTGCTGCCTCAGCTTCCAAGAGTGCTGGCTGGGATTATAAGTGAGTCTCCCGAAACCTTAAGGAATGAGTAACCTTGACAGTGGGCCCCTATCTGGCTTGACCCCTTCTGAGAAGTACTCCCTCCCTCAGGTCAGAGCCTGCCTGCCCCACAGGCTCCTCCAGGGCCTGGCCCTCTTCCCTCGTTGCTCTCTTGTATGGTTTGTCATATGTTGGCTTCTCCTGCGAGGCCAGGCCTGGAAGAGGATTCTCTGCATGTCAGGCCCTTACATGAGAGCTAGCATAGATCAGGGGCACGCACCAGCTAGAGTAGAGTAAGTAGAAGAACAAGGCTTTGGTTTCGCCCTCTGTGAAATGGGGTGAGTGGGTCAGACTAAAGTCCCGTTTCTTAGATGCTTGCTTACTTCCATCTCTCAGTTTGCAAAGCACTTTGTTGAGATGCTTTTGTGGTTCCTCACCTTGTTACGCGGTAAAGGGCCTAGTAATGCACCTGATTTACAGATGAGAAAACCAAGGCCTGGAGAGGTTCTGAGCTCAGACCTCCCGAAAGTGCCACAGGGCACTGTGACCACAGGGGTCAGGTTGAACCCACGTGGCACCTGAGAACAGAGTGACTTGGGACAAGTTCTCCCTAATCATTGTACCTCAGTTTCTTCATCAATGACATGGAACCGTGAATACTGACTGCCTTGCAAAATTATCATAAAGATTGTATGATACAGAACAAGTAACAGAGGTTTGTCATGTAGCAAGGGCTTGTTGTGTAGTAATATTATTCTCATGATGTTCTTCTCTTCCTCCTCCTCCTCTTCCTCCTTTTTCTTCTCCTTCTTCTCTATTGTTATTATTATTATTGTGTGTGTGTGTGTGTGTATGTGTGCGTGTGTGTGTCCCTTTAGCTACATTCCTGTCCCTTTTCAATTTTAAAAAATACTTTATTTTGAGACAGAGTCTTGCTAAGTTGCTAAGTTGTCCAATCTGGGATTGAACTTGTGATCCTCCTGCCTCAGCTTCCCAGAGTGCTGGGATTACAGGCATGTGACATTTAAGCCGGGCTACACATGGTCATATTCTCTGTTGTCTATACCTGTCACATCCATTTGAATCATGCATAAATTAATATGAACTTCTTTACTATTGATGTTTAATGCTCAGATTCCCACCAGTGTGGGAGAAAACCAAAGGTCCTCCTTCACTCTCTGATTTCACACCACAGGGGTGCGGCCAGTGCTGCCTGCTGTAGGCTACGAAGTAGACTCAGCTTCTCAAAGTGCAACTGCAGCCCACCTGGATGGGAATGATCATGGGTGTTGCTTTCAAAGCTTTAGCTTTTGGAATCAGAATCTCTTAGGGTGAAGCTTGCTACCTGCCTATTGAGCCAGCTCCCTAGGAAAGTTGATACCCCAGGACTTGAGAACCACCAATTCGAAGGTTTGTTCTTTGTTTGGGTTTCTGGGTCCTTTGCTCTGCACCGAGGCTTATATTCCCTTTCTAAGCAAACATCCAGGAGCTTCTGTGGAGCCACAAGTTCTGCATCAGCAATCGAGGCCAGGAAGCTGGGCAGAGAAGAAGTGAAATTTGTCTTATTTGTACTTTTATTGTGGAAAGTCAGGCCATCGTAGCTGTTGCCCCACAGTGGGGGCTTAGAAGCTATTGTGAGCCACACAATGCTCTTGTTAAATAAAATGCACAGTGAAGTGTAATTTGAAATGGATAAAAATGGTTTAGTTAAGCTCAGTGGGACAGAAGCAGGAGCCCTGGGCTGCAGCTCCCTATGCCTTCTTATGACTGCTCAGTGGCCTCTAGGAATTGTTAGAGTTCTATGGTGTGGGCTGGAAAAGGCAGATCTACTCCAAGGAGTGGAGGTCAGGTTTCTAGACCTTTGTTGGGCTTGGATGATCTGGCCATAGTTACAGCACCTGCAAACAAGGAGGTTGTATGCTGTTTTAGTTAGGGTGAGGTGCCAGACAAATAAGCCCTTGTATGTGTAACGGGCCAAAGACAACAGATGTTTATAATGTGGCAGGTATGCTGTTTTCCCTGTCTCTCTTTTTTTGAGATAGAGTTTTGTTATGTTGCCCAGGCTGATCTTTGTCTCCAATTCAGATGACCACCCTGCCTCAGCAAGCGGGTATGCAACACCTCACCCAGCTTGAGGCAGGTATTTCTGGGTGGAGGGAAGATCTCTTCCTCACACTAATTCTGTGACTCAGCCCGTGGTCCCATCGTCTCCTTGGATATCATTTTTATCAAAAGCCAACCAGCAGGCGAAAGAAGTGATGCCATGTTTGTACTGTAACTGCCCTGGCCGAGAAGTGGCAGGCATCCCTTCTGCTCTGATGAGAGCCGCTCCTGGCCCAGACCAGTCGACCAGGGAGGAGCTCGGGACATGGGCTCATGGTGAGGATGGCTGCGTCCGTATCCCTGGGAAGTGGCTCTCTGTGGTCATCGAGCTGTCTCCACCACAGATGTGGTGACCATGTGGCTCTTTTTTATTCTTTATCCCAAAATGTTTATAGCGAGTCTTAATGGCAGTAGGGTGAGGCTGGACCTTGCAGAGGTTCTGGAGGTAACTCCGTTTCACAATGTGGAGTAAAACCCCTACTCAGAGGCCTGAACACAGGTCTTCCTGGAACGTGGACAACAACCATTCTCCTTCCTTTCTGGAAAAAGGAAATAAGAATAACAGTTTCACTGAATGCACGACATTGGTGGGGTGGAAGGCTTTCTTCTCCATCATCTCATGGTTTGCTCCTATGGCTGTGTGGGAAGTTTTCAAGACTCACCAGCACTCTGAGGACGAGCAAAACAAGGGTGAGAGGGGCCGGCAAGATTGCTCAGCGGTCTAAAGAGCCTGCTTAGGCAAGCTCTTAGGGACCATGGGTTAGATCCCCTGTACCACATGCCATACAAGTCCCGCCCCCAGGGTGGGCTGAGCTGGGGGGGGGGAAAGGGGAGAAGAAAACAAAGCAAGGGTCATAGAAGGAAAAGGACTTGCTCAAGCCCACATGGTTTATAAGCAAAAGAACTGGAATGGGAGCTCAGAAAATCCTATCCCTGCCCTCAGATCTCAGTGCCTGTTGTAGTGTGTGTGTGTGTGTGTGTGTGTGTGTGTGTGTGTGTCTGTGGGGAGGGCATAAGTGTGATGAGGACAGAAATTTTCTTCAGGCTGGACTTCCCCAGAGCTGGGCACAATTAGGGAAGTGCAAGTCCCAGGCCATGTCTGAGTGCCCATCGTGTGCCGAAGTTCCCCATTATAAGGGAGCTCAGTGGTTGCCCTGGCTTGGGAAAGCCTGGTGTGACCAAGTGCCACAGTCACTGGCCATGGAAAAGAGAAGGGATGTTGTGTGGGTCTTGGGTTCCAGGACAGC